GTCCATTTTCTTCTAAGGGTTTTATGATTTCAGGTCTTATGTTCAAATCTCTGATCATTTTGCATTGATATTTATCTATGTTGTAAGATAGTGGTTTAGGTGCATTGCAGGTGGCTGTCCTGTTTTTCCAACACCACTTATTGAAAACGCTCTTTTTTTCCCATCAGATATTCTTGGCTGATTTGTCGTCAATTAATTGACCATGTATATGTGGGTTTATAGTTACATTTTAAAGTAAGATATTTACTCATGAAGAATTTACAAATAAAAGGTACACAATTTATTTATTTATTTATTTTTATCCTCACCCGAGGATATTTTTCCATTTTTTGTACAGATAGAGTGGGAGGGAAAGAGAGGAAGGGAGAGAGAGAGAGGAACATCGACGTGAAGGGACACATCGAGTGGCTGCCACCCGCACGACCAACCAGGGCCGGGGACAAACTGCAACCAAAGTACGTGCCCTTAGCGGGAACCGAACCTGGGTCTCTCCGGACCGCAGGCCGACGCTTTAACCGCTGAGCCAAACTGGCCAGGGCAAAGGTACACAATTTAAACATGAAGAGTCAAGAAGGAAGAATTCACTTTTCAATAAACAGTTCAGGGACAATTGGTTGCTCTTATGGAAAAATAAAGAGTGTGATTACTATTTCACCTTACATACAAAAAATAGACTATAGGTGGATTTACTATCTAAAGGTGAAAGTAAAGAGAATATTTTTATGATCATGGGGCAAGGATGTACTTTTTCTTTTTTTCTAGCTTAGATGTATAACATTGTGTAACTTTAAAGTATAAATGTATTGATTGTGTGTGTGTGTGTGTGTATTTTTTTTTTTTTACTACTTTAGCATTAGCTAACACCTCCAAAAAGGAAAAACTTCTTAAAGAATATGTGAAAAGCACAAACTTTAGTAGAAGTGATCGATACATTTGACCACAATAAAATTAAAATTTATATTTTGAAAAAAACTGTAATTAAAGTAAGCATACTGGCTAAGACTGGAAGAAGTTATTTGCAACATAAATAACAAAAGATCAGAATCCAAAATGTTTAAAGAGCATAAACAAGCAATTTAGGTAAAAGCAAACAAATCAATAGAAAATTATACAAAAGATTTGAATAAACAATTCAGAGAAAAGAGCATGAAAATAAGAAATATTTCTACACATCAGATTAACAGAAAAGTAAGTAAATATTATTTAAATTATGAAATGTATACCTACAGAAAAGTACCTAAAAATATTCAATTTCAGTAGGATCATAATGTAATCTGTGTAACCATCACTCAGCTTCAGAAGCCCCACATATTTGCTTCCAGATCACAATATCCTTTCTTTCAGCTGGATGTTACTACTACCTGGACTTTTTAAAAAAAATTTATCTTTATTACTGAAAGTATTATAGATGTCTCCTCTTCTGTCCCCCATTGACACCCTCCTCCTGGTTCCGGCCCCCTCCTGCCTTCCTCACACTATTGTCTGTGTTCATGGGTTATGCATACATGCATATAAATTCTTTGGTTCATCTATTCCCCAACCCCCCTTCCCTCTGAGGTTCCTCAGTCTAACAACTAATTTGTACTCAATCCCTTCACCTTTTTTGCCTTGATCTTTGACAGTGGTGTGCTGATTTTCTAGGGGAAAAACACCCTCACTTATGTAGCATTTGCTGATTTCTATGGAATAAAGTATTCCCATCCTGGCAGATTCTAAGCTACCAACAAATATGTCAACTGACTCACCAAATTCCTGAAAATTTAACAGCCAGCTCTTATGAGCATGCACAAATCCATTTCAATGCTCAAATGTCAGTTCCTCCTTTGCTTTTTCTTCATTTAAGAAAGATTTATTATCTAAGAATTATTAAATAAATAGTGTATATTAGCTGCTTCTGATACTATCCCCATTTGTTTTTAATGAATTGTTTTTTGAAATCTTCTTTTCCTATATTCTGGAAGAGTTTAAAAAGCATTGGGATTATCATCTTTTTAAAGGTTTAGTGAATTCCTCTGAGAAACCATCTGGATTTACTGATTTTTTGTTTTGTTTTTTGATCAATTTCCTTTCTGATATCCTTATTTGTTTCTTTCATGGAAACCAGTATCTAGATATTTTAATATCTTTTTTTCTGTTAATATCTTTTTTTCTGGTCTGTCTTGGCAAATTATATATTCCTAGAAAGTTATTTTATCCAGGTTTCAAATGTATTTATATGTAGTTAAGAAGATTACTTTTATGATAGTTTTAATTCTCTGTTTTCTAAAGCTATTTCATTGTTATCTTTTTTACATTTGAAGATTTGTTTTCTCCCATTTTTCCTAATAACTATCTAAATATATTTTCTATATCACTTTTGCTTTCTTATTTTTTGAACTAGTTTTAGATTTATTTATTTCTAGTGTTTTATTATTTTCTAATAATGTATCCTTTTTTGAAATTTTATTAGTTTCTTCCTCTTCTTTATTTATACATTTTGAGTGAGATGTGGTTTTCATTATATCTTGCATGTAGTTATCTATGGTTAAGGCTATTTGTTTTTCTCTGACATCACTGTTTTAGCTGTTCTCATAAGAATGAAATATTATAGCAAAAGAGAAGACGCACTTGTGATTCAGGACACAGAGGTTCCAGTCCTGAAATTCTCTATCATTCTGTCTGTAGTATCTTGAGCACATCACTTAGTTTTCCTCCAGTAGGAAAAAAAGAAAGTATTTGATGTTCTAAAACTTCTATTTTGGTCCTGCCTGGTGTGTCTAAGTGGTGGGAGTGTTGGCCTATCCACCGAAGGGTCTCGGGTTAGATTCTTGATCAAGGCATGTATCTGGGTTGTAAGTACCACAACCAATCTATGCGTCTCACCTACACTGATGTTTCTCTCTCTGCCCCCTCTCCTTTCCTCCCTTCCACTCTCCAAATTTTTTTAAAAATCACGAAAAAAATATCCTCGGGTAAAGATTAACAACAAACACTAAACCTATTTTGCTCTCTAGTTTTGTGATATACTTGATTATTATCAGCTTGTGACTCCAATCATTTGAATTGGGTCTACAATGTGAACCCTCAGGTTAGATAATAACAATGTACTAGTGAGTCCGTGAACTGTGGCCCCTGGTGTAATCACAGAGGACATGCTTCTAACCATTCTTTTGGCTGTGAGACGGGAGCCTGAGCCTCAGTCCAATTCGGGTCTCTCTAAATGTTCTCAACTTCGTACATTTTGTCAGAATCGGTCAACTGTTGAACATTGTCATGTAAGGTTTACAAAGAAGTTTCCCTCAAACCTTTGGGAATTCTTGAAGTAAACAAAGATGCATGATTGTTGGTAATAAAAAAATCAAGCCGAGTGCAGCTAGCTTTTTATGACTGGGTTGACATGAACGCAACAAGGAATAGCAAACGTTGTGTCAGTGAAACTGCAAAATAGATCTTCTAAGGTCTGAAACTTACAGAGAAATGTATAAACATGAGAACATTATTAGATAACAGATTCTGCATCTAAAATTCCCTTTAAAACTGTAAAATAAAAACATGAAAATGTTTCTTTAGAGATAATTTTTAAAAAGTGTTAGAAAATAGAAGCCAGACTATCACAGAGTCTTTAACTCATACATATTACACAAACTTGACATGTGAAATCCCTGTCTATATTTAAATATTGAAATAGTAACTGAAAAAAAAAAAAATCAATGTCCTTCGTGGAAGAGTTAATGTTATCACAGCAAAATAAAATACTCTTAAGTTTTAAATTCCCCTATGCACGTGTTTTAGCTTTGACATGAACACAATATATTTTAATTTTAGCTACTAATGTAAAAAAAAAAAAAAAAATCAGAACAGAAATTAGAAGGAAAACTGAACAAAATGCCCTTCTTTTACCTTTATTTTCTAAACCAATTTAAAATTTTTTATTTTATATAACATGTAACATTGGCAATCATTGCTCACTCTATATAACCTTATGTGTTCTAAATAAATCACTTCTGGATAGCTTTTGTCCATATTTCATCACATTTCTAACTGTAAGAATTTAATTTTGTAGCCCTAAAAAAAAGAATGCATTGATTTTTAGATGCACCTAAGGAGATCAGGCTAATTAGCAATGCTAAAAAAAAGAGATAAATATACATCTTTAAACTATTATTTATCTCTTAAGAAAAGAGAAAGACAACTTATGTTATAAGCTATATTTTATTTAAAAATTTCTGATGCAGCACAGTTTTCTTTTTATTAATAAGTATTTAAAGGACATGTACTATTTAACAGTTCACCTAATTGGAAACCTGTGAAAACACTGGGACAGTGGTTTGGAAACAAACAAATCTACTGTCACTCAGTGTTTTGTCTGTTCCCACATAAATCAGTACCAGAAACATAGAAGCCAATGAGAGTAAGAGCTGAACAGAATTCTGAAATTTTGGCCAGTTTCGCATTGAGTACAAAAGACAATTGCTTCCCAATGTGTCAAAGTGGACTTAAAAATATAATGGTGTTGGACGTGGTATGAGAGACAATACAAGAGTGTTCATTTTAGCTAGATTCTCATTTAAATTTAGAATTGATTATGACTTGTATACACTTAGAGGAGTTCATGATTTTTAGTTTATTTTTCTCTTTTCTAAAATGGAAATGATGGTACCTAGTAGGGTTGTTATATAAGATGATGTATATAACAGCATAGGTGCGTGGTAAGTATTTCAGTATTAAATTCCCATTGCCTTCTGCTCACCCTTTTTAATGGAACACTGTCTAAAATATGTAAATGAATGTAAAGAATTAAATAAGTATGAGCACACACATCAAAATAGGGAAAAATATGTCCTCAAGATGAATGGAAGTAAAATGGATTATTAATGTGGAAATTGAAATGAAAACATTTGAAATTCTTCTAACAGGACCAGAGCCAAATATAAAAGCAGAGCCCTGGACAAACAATATTGTTGGTTTTCTCTTTTGGGTCATGAAATGGATTTCTAAGTATGTTGTATATGTTGTTTCAGAGGCAAAGGCCCATTGAAAAATACATCTGATGTCATTAATGCTGCCAAGAAAATTGCTGAAGCAGGTTCTCGAATGGACAAATTAGCCCGTGCCGTGGCTGATCAGGTAATAGAAGAGGGAAGAATCATTCATTAGCACTTGGGTTCTGGAATGGGTTTTATACACCCTACAGAATGCCCCTGACGAATTACTTGTAGAAAATCACTACCCTTTTATAAACTGGCCTCTAACACTGCTGAGACTGAGCTGATGGAGGAAGGTGGGTTCAGTTTAGGAAGGACTCCTAAGGCCCGTGACCAAGATGAGCAACTTTCTACATATGAGACATAACCCCCCAAAGCCACAGAGTATCCCAGACACCCTCGTTCAGAAATTTAATCACAACAAATAAGAGACAGGGAAAAGAACATTACATCTTGATATTTAATATTGATCTCACTGTAATGATGCTTTTGATGATTCTTAATAATGTATGCTCTACTCTAAATGGGATTAATGCACATAATCGAGAACCTTCAGATTTCAGCTGCATTTTTACCCAGACTCTGAGGCATCAGAGATAAATGAAATTCTCAGACTCTCTTGTGCTTTCAGACTGAAGACACAGATTAAAATAGTTCTTAATCTCACCTTGAATGTTTGAGTTGATTTCCTTTTCACACTTTTCATTTTATTTGGCTGAAATTGGAACTCTAAAATCCTGTTGTAAATATGCCTTGTGGCAATCACATTCCATTTCCTAGAAGGGTTCTTTAGTAACAGGCTTTCGCATAGAATGAATCCATCTTTCTGTAAGTAACAGTGGTTTACAGTTTGAACCATCTTAAAAAGAAAATGTGTTAGAATATAAGTTCTGAAATAGAAATATTATATAAACTATTATTTACATGGAGACACCATGAGCATGAATTTGCTTACTAGACTACAACAACAGCGATGCTCTCTGGAGACTTTAAAAGATACAGGGTTGTATCCTCCTCCATAGATAGCCCTGGCCTTCTAGTATTTTAGGGTTATTACAGTTGTCCTTCCCCATTCCTTAACATTAGGCTGTTCCTTTAAATACAGTCTTCAACATCTCAGATTCTTAAATATTTTAAGAAAAACACATTATTAAACAAGTAAGATTATATTTAAAATAAGCCAATATATTGTCTCATATATCGGTAACAAAAAAATAAATTAATAAAAATTGCAAACCCCGTGTGTGTGTGTGCGCACGCGCGCTAATTAAAGGGAATGTTTTTGTTTTTGAATTTTGGAGAAACACTTACTAGTAAAGACAATTCATTAAATATTACCCTACTATGAGACCCCTCCCCAAATTTGTAGGGTTTGAGGACCAAACCATCACTAAATTACTACAGGGCAATATCAACTGCCAGGCTTCCTTAAGGTTGTAGCATAGTTTGAACTTTTATCTACAGAGTTGTATATATATCCCAGAAAGTTCATGTAAAAGAGAGGAGAGACAATGAACTTATCTGAAAATATGTATGCATACAAACAAACAAAAATATGCCAACCAAGAAAGAAGGCCACATTCTTTTTTTTTTTTTTTTTTCCCTGCAAATGTTGAGGGGGGTTGGGATGAGTAGAATGAGCAGAGATAGGTGGGTGATCCTGGGAGTTTTAGTGGGAAAGACTTCTTCCTGGGAGTGAAAGTGGATGGATGAAGGTTAGATGGCCTTTGATTATATTCTGAATCGCAGTGGCTAAAATTGTTTCTCAATATTCTCAGGCATATTGTATTGTGATTCTTGTTTGTGATTTTTGCAACATGAAGCAAAAACAGTTCTTATATCTGGAAAACAACATACAAATCCCAGGATTCTAGATGTCTTTTGAGATTGTGACAAAGTATTTAAATGCTATTTAATGATGATTTTAAAAATAAACAGATGAAGGTAAACACAACCCCCTCTTTGTGGCATTCTTGCTGACATCAGTGGTGAAGCAACCTGCAATTTTATTCTCATGTTTTGTCTGAATGGGACATTTCTTTCTCAAATTCTGCTCCTGTTTCCATGATGTAAGAATTACTTTTCTTGTTTCATCATGCTTTTAAAAGCTTCAGTTTAAATAATAGGGCAGAATGAGCATTACCAAGGAGTGGACTGGTTGCCTTTATTCTGCCTGAAAATATTTTTATGAAGATTTGATATATGCACGCAATATAAACTTTTTACGGACGGTTGCATTTTTAATTACTGTTCCATTGAGATAGAACTTCCAGTTTAATTTGCTGCAAGGTATTTGTATCAAAAGACTAGTCAGCCCTCTAGGGAGATATCATTTTAAAGTGAATTCCTTTCAGTATGTGGGTCTCTGGAGTACAATAAATATTACAGTATTAAAGTACTTGTAGAAAGCTAAAAACAGTCTCTGTGGGATTCTTTCTTGATAAATGCAGTGAGTGAAAAAAAAAAAATACCACAGTGGTAAGTGTTACGTATAAAAGAGACTCCTTTGTCATTTACTGAATAAATGGCTATATTGCAACCACTGACTTCACAGTATTAATGAAATAATTATTTTTCTTGAACTTGCAGAAAACAGCTGGAGTGTTTTTCTCATGCTCTTATCCTAAATAAGATACTTCACTGTGCCTGTATGTGCTTGCTTCTTATACTGTATTATCAAGGATCTGGTGATTATATGGTTTTTACAAGTGCCACATTGAGCCAGAACAATGGAGAGGCTTGGAGAAGCTGGAGCTGAACTTTTGATAGCAATGGGAATATATTTTAATTACTGGGTAGCCATTGGCATTGAAGCCTCAGAGATACTTTAGGGTGTCAAATAAATGTCTGTGGAAGTATTCATCTCAGCTCAGTGTGTATTTGATGGAAATCTCCCTGTTTAAATCTCAAAGAGAATTCAAAATTCCTGTTCAAAGTTGATTCTGGCCCACCCAAAGTCTGGGATCTGTCGTTATTCTTACAAATATTTCAGTTGGCATCAAATTCATTCTTTTTCTTACTTCTGTTTCTCTTAGAGGGGTCAAGATTCTTCTCCTTTGTTTAAAAGAAGTTTACCATGTTGCTAAAATTGTGATAAATATGAAAATCCAAAAAGTATAATAGACTTTCTTTAGTGAATGATGCATTTATTAGAAAGCCAAAGGAAACAGGTGATTTTTGGCCCTCAACTAATTGAATTAAAACTCTACCCTTTTTAATGGCAGAGAGATTGCCACCCAAGGTTCTTTCCTTCTGGTTTATGTTGCTTTGGTAATCTGTATTAAAACACTTTGCCCATCATAAATGTTGAATGAGCCAGTAGGAGGGAAAAAAGTAAAATATGTCATTTCTTATTGGTATTCAAGACAACTGGTAAAATACCCAGAAACATGTACAGAAGTCCCAATAAGACTTGCTGGAAGACCTTTAATATCCTTCTCATAGAATTTTGTTCAAGTAGAGCTAATTATTGGAAACTATTGGTTGTGTCCTTCCTAAAATGCTATACAAAGAAGATAAGTTAAATGGATGTAATTAAGGGAGATGACACTGAAACATTTTATTCTCACAGCTTTTGTAGAGCAAGTGTTAGAAACTGAAGAGGACTTGCTAACTGAGATCACTTTTTTAAATGTTTTATAGTGTCCTGATTCAGCATGTAAGCAGGATTTATTGGCCTACCTTCAACGAATTGCCTTGTATTGCCATCAGCTTAATATCTGCAGCAAGGTGAAGGCAGAAGTACAGAATCTGGGAGGAGAGCTCATTGTATCAGGGGTAAGCTGGGGCATGGGCTTCACTATTTAAGTTCCCACTGTTGTGCTTCAAGGCGAGAATTCTTGGCAACAGTACTGCTAAAAACACCCAACTACAGTGATTCATAGGGAGGTAGTTTTAAAATAAATGTTATCACCATTATTGCAGAACTTACAATAACTCACAAAGAGCAATTTGATTTTCCAATTACCCTATGTTTATACTAGCCTTGTAAAATCTCCATTCTTCACAAGGAAACTAATTTCATAGTCTGCAAACTTATTGCCAAGCTGTGACTATTATAATTATTTGGGGCTTTTGCATATTTACTCATTGTGAGTCTACATGCCTTTGTTAGTCCTAGTAATTTTTATTCTTTATTCACGAGCCAGCCTCTCTATGTGTGGATTGTGTTCACATGTTAGAGATGATAAAAACAATGGAAATTCATTCATCAGGTTCCAATGCATACTAGGTTAACAATAACCCTTAAAAGCCACAATATTCAAATTTAACACAGGTTGATGTGCTGTTGCCAAAAACTAACATAGTTGTCAAACACTAACAATTATATAATTTTTTTTTACTCAATCACTGAAGTGTTTCCTTTCTCATGAAAATATGAGTATCTGGTTCATTCCACCAAATTCAAAGAAATAAGAAGTTCAGTGAATAGAAGGATCATGATTTCTTGGCAAGATTTTCAAATGTATGTGTTGAGGTTCTTCATCTTGGCTTCTTCTCCTCCCTCACTCAGTGCCTCTCTTTTAACAAAAGTTGCCATCTATTATTGTAAACTATTTCCAATTCTGAAGTGTGGCTCTACCACCTTTAGTTCTTTTCCCAGTCAACCATGGTGCTGCCTTATGAAGTGTGGCATTACCAGGAACAGAACCTTATCAACATAGGGAATGCCTTGTGAAAATCATGCTGGTTGCAAAGCTCAATTTTTCTCTAAGCCATTTTCAAAAATTCATCAATTTGACCATTTGACAAAAAAAATATGTGGATAAATCATTCTTGAACCCAGAGGTTTCAGTTCCTATATTATTTAGCTTGCGAAAGCATAGCTGGGAAAAGAGCTGATCTGGCTTGCATGGAGATGCCATCTGCAAAGCCTGGTCCATGCAATCCCACCTAGAGCCCAATCAATTGGATATTTTGTGCCTCTTTCCAAAGCAGTCACCTCCTTGCATTTCCAAAACGATCCTGCTTCAACATTCTTCAACAACCAAGTGCAATCTGTCTTGCAATGTGTCTTTTCTGCCAAGTTGGTAACTACCAAGATTCTCTCTGCCAAGAAGTGATCAAAACATTGCATCTCCCTTGCTTCCTTTCTTATCTTCAGCCTCGATGGTATAGTTTCTCATACCATTCAGCGGTCATGTCCATCTGTATATAGCATCCGTGGAACTGAGTGCTTTTTGTTTAGCTTGCCTTGTGTGCTTTCATTTGTCACTTTCCTAATCTTATTATTTACATGGATGCGCAAAGCATCTTTGTGGATCTCAGACTCCACAGCTTCATCTGGACAGTATTTTCCTGGCAGAGTTGTTCTCCATCATCCTCTCAGTATCCATTGTTCATCACTGCCTCCAGAGCTTCATTTTCATTGTCTTTTCCTCATCAAGGTGTAGTCCAAACCATCACTGGCTTTTATCACTCGCACTGTTGGCATTTGCAGAGGTGTTTGCAGTTGAGAACACCGTCAAGAAGCCTACTTCCTTCTTTGAGTCTTATTGGCGAAGAGCAGAAATCCTTGCATGGGAGAAGGCTTCTTTGGAGGAATGTTACACAACTTTATAATTCTGAGTCAAATGCATTATAAAGGTTTGCTGTGTATTGCTCGATGACGAGCCCACTCTTGGCCTCCTCATGATTTTTTTCAAGCTTGATTGCTATTTGGTGCCATGCCTGCATCTGTGGTCTGCTGTCTCTGCCACTTCTGCCTCCACCTTATTCTTCATTCTCCTTCACTGCTGGCTAATGGAGAAAAAAAGTCAACATGTTTATTTTGCAAAATAGCCACAAATGGCTGCCTTCAAAGTTTTGAAAGCATCAAGAATGTGAGACCCCATACACACAAACTTTCATCGATTTTGCCAAGAAAATGCACCCATGCTTTGGGCTCCATTTATTCTGTTGTCTGGCCTGATGAAGTTGTTATATTTTTGAGAAGCAACTAAAATATAAAGCACAATAAAAAAAATAGAGATACTTAAATCTTTCATGTTTTTCCCCTCTGTTTATGTACCTGGGATCAAAGCTGTGGATTCTTCTCTGAAATACCTAAAAGCCCCCAGGAAAATGCATTTGTTAGAAGATAAACTTTCTCCTCATACAGGAGAGATTTGGATAGTTTATTTTCATTTTGCCAAGAAAAAATAATGTGAATTTCAAAATGCAAAGCCATTGTTTGTAGTCTTGTGCTGACATTATGTATAGATGTTTTTAAAAAGTCTATGTGCACAATTAGATACCATGTCAGCAGGTGATGTTTTAGGTGATTCTGTAGGTAGGCACTGGAAAAGGCCTCTTCTGTGTTAGCTCTAGAAAAGTCACTAGGTCATGGAGGACAATGGGAGCAAATGCTCTTCATGAGTCATGATGGGGAATTAAAGAAATAAAGCAATTTAAGATGTACACCAGCATATGTTCATTCACACAACTGCTGTCTAAGAAGCACCATTAGTTTTCTGGCTGGCAACCAATTTTTTAAACTCGTTGGCTTAAACCTTTCTCAACAGCCAAATGGTGCCATTCTTATTAAATCTCAAAGTAGAAGATGCATTTGGGAGCCAACTCAGCTCAGCTGGGTTGCTAAGCAGGTAATGGAAGCGTGGGAAAAAAAAAAAAAAAAAACAATTTAAAAACGAGAAGAGGGATAAAAAAGTTAGAGTGAAAATAGAGAATATTAACATCCAGAAAATGAAATAGTCTCTTAGTTTATAAACTGGCCTTGTTTGCTCAGTTTCGTGTTTGCTTAGTTTCATGTTTGCTTATTAAATCTTGTAAGTCAGGTTACATGCATTTTGGGGAAAGAAATGTTGAAAGAAGAAAAGAAAGAGAGCGGGAAGAGGGGAAGGTAGGAGGGAAGAGGCATGAAAGAGGGAAGAAGAGGAAACAAAGGAAAGAGAAACTTAATCATATCATATCATAATTTTTTTAGTACAGGTAATAGCTACTAAATTTGAGTGTTGTATTCATCATGGGAGAAAAGTTGAACCAACGTGTTCCAAGTATGTAAATATATTTTGAATACAAATAAGTTCTAATGCCATAATACATTTCTCATGTTTTTTTATTAATTTTTATTCACTAGGTTTCAGAGGATTTAATGGGTTCTTTGAAATTTAAAAGCAAAGATGGACACATAGTTCTGGAGAAATAAGACCCATTCTAAAACCTCAGATTATCTCCACCTACCCAAAGATTTATATTCTGTTGTGTTATTCTGAAAATGATTAGAAACACTACTGTAGGATTTTAGAATATAGAATGCTGAACATCAAGCATCCTAATAAAACGGAAAAATCCACTTTTTTGGGGTTCAAATATAGCAGGAGCTTCATTATAACATGAAGCCAGAACACAAGAGCAGTAACTCTGCTTAGGGCAAGAATTTGATGTTCAGGTCAGAAATGGAGGGACATTGGTATGACTTAGAGCTGACTCCACAAGAAAATGCTAGAAATTTAATACATTTTTTTGCATATGCGTCTTTTTTTTTTTTTCTTCAAAACTGTTTTTATTGATATTTTAGACAGATTCAAAGGGAGGAGAAAGAGAGAGAAACATCAATGTGAGAGAGAAACATTAATTGGTTGCCTCTATATGCGCCCAACCAGGGATCAAACCCAAAATCTGGGTATGGACCCTGACCAGGAATCCAACTGGTGACCATTCAGTGGATGGGGTGATGGCCAACCAATGAGCTGCAGTGATTAGGGCTGCAGGCCTTTTTATTATTATTATTATTATTATTATTATTATTATATTAACAAATATAGCAACAGTTTGGAGGTGAGGAACATTAGTTCCCTAGGTCCTCAATCTGCTGGAGTGGAGCCGTAACCTAATCCCGCTGGACTGAGTAACTTGCCTTAATGCACAGTCTTGTTTTTTGCCTTTTAAATCTGAATCCATTGTAACTGAGTTATGGAGAGAAGTTTGACAAGGCAAGCAAGTATAATTTGTGACACTGGTAGGGTTTGAATTGGAAAAGATAAAATTAGAGAAGAAGGGGTCAATTGCAGTCATTCTTACTGCCTATGTTTCACATCATTAAAAAAAATAGGCTCAGTTAAAATGAACATGGATATGTATGGTGATAAAAAATATTCATAAAAATACTGAATAATAATCAGATTAATCTTACCTAACATTGGCATGTAATCAAAGATATGTATGTGGATCTGCACACATTTATACACAGCAGATACACTTGATTTGACATGTACTCCCTTACCCTCAGAAAAAGCAGTAATCAAGAACCGGACACATGGGTGACAAGTGGCATGTCTGATCCAGTACAATTCAGGGAAAAGAAAATTGGTGTATTTATATAATTTCATATATAATATATTACATATATATGTAAAAATTGTGGTTTGTTCAGATGAGAATTGCATTTTATTTTAAAAGTTCTGTTTTTCCTCTATAAAATGTTTTGAATTAGGATGAAACAGTCATTTGAAATAAGCATTGCACCTATTTATGTAGACCTGTACTTTAAGCAACTCTTTTTGGAGAGTCTCCTTTTTATATATTCTGCTTCTGTCTATTGTCAATTTTTTATCATCACTACTGATGAAAGTGTAGGAGTAATGGGAAAAAAATCTAAATTTCCAACTATTTCCATTTGGGTCTGGAGTGCATTTTTGTGCTTCATTTGAACAAAAGGCTATGTGTTTAAGGGATTTACAGCAGTTCCAAAGAATTGTGTCCAGATCTTTCAGAGAGTAGTCCATTAAGTATTTGGGTTAAAGGACTTTTTCTGACCTAGGGTGACTAGGAGAGTC